ACATAATATAAGGATTTGTGCGAATCGCGTGCATACGAGTAAAAGATTCTTCTTCCTCTCCTTCTTCCTTCCTTTTTTTTTTGGACAAAACTGAAAGGGACTAGCGAATAAATTGGTTCTTGAACAGTGACTAGACAATATATATGTACACATGCATACAATTATAAATTATTCCAAATAACAACTCTCAAAAACTTCGAGTTTTCTTCTTTTTCGGCCCTCGTAGAATAGTTAAACGTCGTTTATCTCGTATACGTCACTGGCTCTGTGCTCGTGTATAAGTGTATATTTTTTTTGTGCGCGACAACGACTACAACGCCGTACTCTTAACTAGGATACGACGACGAGGACAACAAAAAAAAAATAATATAATTCGAGTTAACTTCGGTAAAGAAGTACAATTTTTTGTTTTCGACTCTTTTACCTATTCTTTCGTCCGTCTCTGTATATATGTCTCGAGTACAATGTATTATAACGCGCGTGTATAATGCATAGATCTATAATTTCTGTCTCTATCGTTGAAAAGTACAATATTTCTCTCTTTCTGTCTAGTGGCAGTCATCGCATACAATATATGCCTGAATGCTAAATGTTTTGTATACATAAACGTGGCTTTTTTTTTCTCTCTCTCTCTCTCTCTCTTCTTTTATACTTCTTCAACGTTCAACTTAATAGCTGAGTAATATTAATAGCATTAGTCATAAATATAATAATAATAATAATGATAATAATAATAATAGCGAATCAATGCGTGCGTATGATAAGTTTTTTTTTCACTCTTTTCTTACTCACTTCACTCACTTTCTCTTTGTGTATATAATATTGTATAAATATCTACTATATATGGACGCCACAAGACACGCCGTGGCTTATATGTTTGATTTTGCGCTCAATTTTTTTTGTTTTTGTTTTCATCCCTCTTTCACACACAAACACACACACAAGCAGTTGTACATTCGACAATAGTATATAAAAAAAATTGAGTATTTTTTTCATCGTTGTACATGCGATAACGCGTTCGAACTCTTAACTATTTATAAATTAGAAAACGTCTGCCGCGCGCCTGGCTTGTGAGGACGAATTTCAGCATGGGGTGTATAAATAATATTTGCGTAACCGAATCGATGAAAAGACGCATGAGGCAACAACGCGATCGATTTATAACTCGACTCAAAAACTTAGGAACGCGCATGAATACAATCATAAACGACTGCTATACTGCCGAGCGTCCCGCAGCAGCTTGCATTTACACACAGTCAAGGGTCGCTTTTGGAAATCGTAAAAGCGAGGAAAAAATCATCGCATTATAGATGCACACGACAATGTACCCACAGCGCGTTCGACCTTCTCTCTCTCTCCATTTATCTCGCGCCGATTCGCGTGTCCATCGCATATATAACGTAACTGCCGAATGCAGATTTTTCTCTGTCTTCCTCCATATAGCCTTGTATATACTACGGACACTACCCCTGGTCTCTGTCTACGAGCTCGGACCCTCGAAATCGAAAATTTATGTTAATGCACGTGCGTCTATGCGTACGCGGCGAAAAATATAGGGAGGGACCAAAAATGAATGCTAATTCTGACGAATTTTTGGAAAACTTTCGGAAGCTAGTGGTAGTAGTTGTAGTTGGTTGGTTGGGGCAGCGATCCCGCGCGTAATATACCGAGCTCGAGCGATTATAACGACTCTCTCTCTCTCCGAGCGCGGATGAATAGCTGCGAATTTTATATATTACATGCATGCATCGATCTATATATATTATATATTATATCGAGATGTAGCAGCGGCGACTCGAATTTGAATAAAAGTTTTTCTCGGGTGTGTGCGCGCGTGTGCACTGTCATCCGCACACACGCGAGTACACACACACACACACACACACACACACACACACACACACACACACACACACACATTTACACATGCAGTATTTTTCTGTATATATAAGGTATATAAAAATATATGCCTACACACATGACAAAGCCTGAATAGCTTTCTTCTTCCTCTACGAACGCGAACTTTTTCTCCCCCTTGCGTATATGTGTGCGTGTGTGTATACAGGCCTCGGACCTTCACAAATATTTTACCGTTTTCTCTCTCTCTCTCTGGCCTTATGACTACTATTATTTGTAGCCTACTCAACTTTTTCGCCTGTAATTTGAACAACGTCCGAGACTCAACGTTTCGAACGCTCTTGAATAAAAAAAAAGGAGAAAGCGAACGCGGCGGAGGAATTTCTAATGAGCGCAGCGCGCGAAAGCCATACTGGCCGTTTACGAGCAAGTGGTGTAATTTTCGCTGTCGTTGTCGATGCATTTTTTTTTTTTTTTTCATGTTATCACTACATAATTGCGCAACGAACCGCGAGAGATTCGCGACGATTACTCCACCCATGCAGTTGTCGATCGAATTACCCGAAAAAAGCTTCTTCACAATCGATCAAAAATTTTCGACCGTCGAAGCTCGTCCTGTACAAATTATGATGGAATATCGGCGCCCTTTAATGATTTTAACTCGTATGTGTATATATATAGATCGGCGCTCGTGTTTACAAAGAGTGAAGAGCGAGAGAGAATCAATAAAGTTAGTATTGCGCGATGTAAGTTCCAAGTTTGTGCGTTTGCGTTCTACGTGTATCTATACACACACTCCGGAGTTCAGTGAGAGAGAGAAAGACGTATAAAGGCGCGCACATGCGATATTCGCGTGTATACAGAGAGACGGCGACGACGGGGCAAAAAAGGGCGGAAACTTAACTTAACAACGACGGCTGCGGAGTCAAACTCGACTGTACGAAAGAGAGTCTCGGACCAGCAGTGCGCGCAATATTGCCTTTTGCGACGTGTCTCGAGTCGTCGATTTTTCGGTCGCGCGCAGGTTATGGGGCGCGCGCGTGCTCAGCACTGCACCGCTGGTCACTTTCGCTTTTTCTCTCTCTTTCTCCCTCTCTCGAGTACATATTATTCTCGACGGCGTATTTTTGCTATATACGCGTATAATATATAGAACAGCTGTACGCGCGCGCGAGGATTCCCCATCGATTTTATGTTTTTGCGCGCGCCCGATATAATTTTTTTTCATTTTGTATACAGGGAATCGTTATCCATGCTGATATTCGTCCGCACTCGTGAATTATATATCGTAGCACCGATGCGTTTTTTGATTTCTCTCACAATAGTTTTGATTATTTTGTTTTTATTTTTTTGCTTCGTCGAGACGCTATATAATAATAAAACTTTTTTTTTGATTTTCGTTCCTCAGAGGTGCAAGGCACACACATTAATTTTTTATATATAATATAAATTAAGAGATATAAAAAAAAATACATTAACGCTACGTACCCAAAAAAAATCATAATTAAGATAATCGAAAAGAGACGACGAAAATGTCAAAAGTCGGCTTTGAGAATCACGTACGCCACTCGCAGCACCGGCAGCAGTCCACGGATTTTCCATGCTACATAGACTAGATACACAATTTTCTCGCTTTTTTCGGTTTTCTTCGGCTTCGTTCGTTCGACGTTTGACTAGTATCATCGTATCATGCGCACATACACACACACGAATTCGAGAAAAAGAGAACGATAAAGATTTATCGCCTTCCATATCTCGTATAACGAGGTCTTTGGTTTATAATAATTACATTTTGATCGATTTGACACTGGAAAATGTGCTGCGCGCGTGCGCTCCCGTGACGACTTCTTAATATGACTTCGCGTTAATGAGGCGTATAATTATAATTAATTGAATCGTTTTTTCCTTTTTTGTTTTGGTCGGACATCATCTCTCTCTTTAAAATATATACTGTACAAATATTTGTTTGTATTTTTTTGCAATGCGCGCGCTCCCCCTGGTTCTTTTAAGCTATATGGTTTTTGTATAAAAAGATTTTCTTTTTTTTTTTTTTAATATAAAAATTGTACTTTTGGTCGGTATAGTTCTTTTTTTTTATACACTATCAGTTATAACTGCTCGATCGAGTCTCAACTTTTTTCGAATTCGTGAATTTTTCGTCGTTTCATTCTTATTAAAAATATGATATTATTGTTCATTAAACGTTTATACAGTCAAGGCATCTATTGAGTTTCGTTTGACCATTTTTCCCTTTATGTTTTCCTTGATATACGGACTGTGTAGATAAGTTGTTTTCTTTTTATTTACTCTTTATTTACGAAGGCCCCATGATTTTTGATTATTAAATTTTTTCAATAGTACTTTGGCTTACGAAATACGTTATTATCATTATCATCACACTTCTACAAAAATTCATCGTAAAATTCACATTATTGCCGAGCTATATGAGAGTATAGTGCGCTTTCGAAACGACTGAAAAAAAAAATAAATAAACATAAATAAAAGTTCTGCCGTCTTTGGTTCAACAAACTAGCATCGTGTACGGATCCCCCGTTATAATTTTTCGGTAAAAATCGTCGATAATAAATAAAGCATAATCATACGTTACATTTACGTTCTCCTTGGTACGAACACGAGCTTGATACATATATCACCCGTATTGCGTAATGTATAAATTGTACATAGCATTTGAACGAGTGAAAAAAAAGGAAAAGGTTTTTCCACGCAGTCATCGACGCATATATATTACTACACGTATATATTGTACACAACTCAGGTCGTTTTGAAAAATAGGAACTTCGTTATTTGGATCACACCCATTGGTTGCATTAATACAATCGTTATATTTTTGTTTCGTTTGCTTTCTCCTCTCTAGATATATACGCTAAAAAAAATTTGTTTTCTCGTATAATTTATTTACACGCGAGATAACGTTCCAGCCACGTTTGTATTATTATTATTTTTGGTATATTCGTGAATCGTCTTTCGGAATGGTAACTCGAGCTATATGTAATGTATAAAGGAACCTTGCGATTGAAAATCAGTATAGCTCTGCGTTATCTCTCTTTTTCCTCTCGAGTATATAATAATAATAATATAGGAACCAGTAACCAAAGTGTGCTATATATAGAGCGTGGCAGAGATATAAGCTTTTGTTGTTGTTGTTTTTCAGGCCGGGCTCAGACTGAACGTGAGCGTCAAAGAGTCGCTGACCCTCGCCTTCACGGGCAGAAACACCAAGGCGGGCGCGAACCTCTTCGCGCGATAATTGCCACCGTCGTCCTCCTCGTTGTTGTCGCCGCATCCATTACTTCCACCGTTACTCTGCTGCTGAGTCTTCTCCTGCTGAGGCTTCTCCTCGACGATGAAGGCCTGCATGACGGTCTTGCTGCTCTCGGGCGAGTTGTTCATGCCGTTGTTGTCCTGCTGTTGGGAAGGTGGCAGCTGGGGCACGGCGTAACTGACCGGCACCTTGTGCTTGTTCGCCACGTCCTTGAGCATCTTGTTGAGCTCGGCGAGGGCCTGTTCGACGGGATCGGCGCCGCCTGGACACCTGTGATCCTTGCGCACGTGCTTCTTGATGCGATTGAGATTGGACGAGGCGAAGCCGCACTGCGAGCACTTGTAGGCGCCCTGAGGCATCACCTGCACCACGTTGTTACCAGCACCGCTGCTCTCTTCTTGTTTTATCATCTGATTCGTGTCGATCTCGTTCATGATGTGCTGCTGGGGGGTGGTGGTGGCGGCCGTTGGGCTAGTCCGAGAACAGTCTTCGCTCTTGATCGTCGTTCCTCTTTGCTGCTGTTCACTACTATTCGGTGGCATGGCAAAGTCGCCGAGCAGAGGCAGCGGCAACGACGAGAGCAGACCCGGAAAAGGATTCGGATGCCGAGCGGAGACGTGTTCTCGCAGAGCCTCGAGCTGTCCGAAGCTCTGAGCGCAAATCGGACACTGGAGCATTCGCTGCTCGTCCATCTCCTGATGATGCGATCTCTCGTGCAGGAAGTACAGGGGCAGAATGGTCGTGGAGAAGTTGCACTGGGGTTGGGAGCAGCAGTAGTTTTGCTGCTGTTGGCCCTGTTGTTGTTGCTGCTGCTGGTCGCCGAAGAAATTGCTCAGCACCTGATTGCCGAGGGCGGCCAGATCGGCGCGCATGAAATTACTCGCGCTGTTGTTGGCCGCCGATTCGAAGCCACCGTTGGGTATCTTCAGACTCGGCAGCGACGCGGCCGAGTACAATGACGAGGAGGAGCTCTTGGACGACGACGATTTGTTGGGTATTTTTTGCGACTGCTGCTGCTCCATCTCGCGCCACTTGTCGAGCTCGGGTGGCGCGTGCTCCTTGAGATGCAGCTTGAGCCACTTGCTGCTGCGAAAGCGCCGATTGCAGATCGGACAGACCTCGGTGAAGTGCGTGATGTAGCGCAGATTCAGATCGCCCAGAAGCTCGGGTTTCAGGGCCAGATCCTCGACACCCTGGGCTGCTCCTGGTGACTCCATCATTTCTTGCTTGTTACTTGTCGTTGTGGTCGTGGTCGTCGTCTGCTGTCCGTCCTCCGTGATGCCGTGGGTGTTCTGCTTGTGCACCCTGAGGAAGTACTTGCTGCAGAGCTCCTTCTTGCAGATGTTGCAGACTACGCCGCCGATCTGGGCGCCGTTCTCGATCTCGATGCCGTGCATCTTTTGCATGTGGGTCTTCATGAAGTACTTGTTGCAGAGCTCCTTGTTGCAGAGCGTGCAGAAGCTCGAGTTGATCTGCTGGGCGGCGGCGACGGCCTGATTGCCAGTGGGAGTCGTTGTACTCGAAGTCGTCGTGGATTTGTTACGCGGATTATCCTGCATGGATTGGGACGAATTCGACTTGGGCGTCATGGGCGAGATGGGCGCGGCGACGAGCTGAGGCGTCGTCGATTGTTCCTCGACTTTACCTCTTTGTGGCGGCTGCTGCGGTTGCTGCTGCTGCTGAGGTATCGTTGTCAACGCAGCTCCCACACGGGACGCCAGATTCTCCGGCACGACGCTGTGCTCGGCGATCATGTGGCTCCTCAGCGCCGCCGGATTGTCGTAGTCCTTGCCGCAGAGGGCGCACGAGGCGGCCTTGTTCGACTCCAGGCCGCTCAGCTGCGTGATCATCGTCTGCAGTTTCTTCAGGTCCTCCGAGATCATCATCGCGTCCTCGGTGGTCGTCAACGTCTTTTGTTGGTTCTCGATCATCGAGTCCTCGTCCAGCATAAAATTTCTAGGCGACGACGAGCGATGGATCTTGTCCACGTGCAGGAGAAACAGCTCCTGGGTCTGCAGGCGCAGTCCGCACATCTTGCACGCGTACTCCTCGCCCTCGTCCCAGTCCGACGCGGAGGAGCCGTTGTTGAGCGACGAGTCGGCCATTATGAGATTCAGCGGACTCTCCTGCTGCTGGCTCTCGGTGGAGGAGGAATTCAGAGGTTTGTTGTCGGCGTGCCGCTTGAGCCGGTGCGCGTGCAGATGATGCCTGTCCACGTACTCCTTGCAGCACAGCTCGCAGAACGCCTCGGGATTCATGACGAGGAAAAGGCGTTGCTGCTGCTGCTTGTCGCCGTTGACGGACGACGAGGAGGATCGTTGCTTGTTGGTGAAGGTGATCTCGGCCTCGTCGATGCTGAACTCCTGCTTGAAGAGCGTCTCCATGATTCCGGGACTCTGACCCGCCTCGTCCTCGCCACCCGATAACGTCTGTTGTTGCTGCTGATGCTGCTGCATCATCATCTGACCGTCGCGATTGAAGTGGACCTTGTTTCGGTGCTTTCTCAGCGACTCCTCGTTCTTGAATTGCTTCGAGCACAGATCGCAGGGCAAACTCGGGCTCGTCTGCAGTCCGTTGCTCTCCAGTCTCAGTTTGTTGATGGGACTGGAGGACGAGCTCGCGACGAACGGACTGTTCGTCAAACCATCGTTGCTATGCGACTGATCCGAGTAAACGTTGTGCTTGTTGGCCTTGTGGGTCTTCAAGAAGTACTTGTTGCAGAACTCCTTGTTGCAGAGCTCGCAGTAGGCGTCGGGATTGAATATCTTTGGGAACTTGCTCAATTGAGCGGCGGCGGCGGCTCGTTGCTGCGCGTGCTGCTGCATGTCGGTCACGAAGCTGGGCATGCTCATGAACTGGCCGAAGGGCCCGGCTGGAAATCCCGCGGGCATCGACGCCGAGTAGTGATGATTGCCGCTGTTGCCTCTCGCGGGTGCCACCGCGGCGGCTTTGAAGAAGGCCGACGCGGCGTCGCCCGGACTCGTGGCCGGCAGCCACGACGAGCTGCTGCTGGCGAAATTTTTCACGCTTATGTGGGACAGATTCATCGGACTGCCGACGGTTTGCTCGGACGAGGCGAGAGCCACCGGCGCTGCTTCTTCGCTCGGCTGAATGCCGGGGGAGGATCGTCGTTGCGCCAGCTCCTCGTCTTCGTTGTCGTCGTCGTCGTCGTCGTCGATTTCTTCGTCGTCGTCCTCGTCGCGACTGCTCTGAAGCAGTCTCACGTCGGCGAAGTCGTGCTCGCACTCGAGGTGCATCTCGAGCGTGTCGCGATCGTCGAAAAATCGACTGCAGTACTGGCAGCGGAACTCGTTGTTCAGATTCTCGTCTTTGAGCGAGCTCGCTTGCAAAGATTTTTGTTGCTGCTGCTGTTGCTGTTGTTGCTGTTGTTGTAATTGATGTCTCTGCTTACCTTCGAGTTGTTGATAATCGTTGAAATCGTCGCGATGACGCTGACGATGGGGCTGCTGCTGCTGTCCATCGTCCTCGTCGTCGTCCTCGTCCTCGCCGGTGCTCAGCGACGTGGAAAACTTGACGGGCGTCGTCTGTTTTCGGCGTTTTTTGCCACCGCTGCTGCCAGTCAGGCCGTCGAGCAACGAGGAGCCAAGACGTTTGTTGCGCTGCTGCTCCTGCTCGCCGCTGCTCGAGCCGCCCTCGCTATCGATCTCCGCCTGCTGCTGCTGCTGAGACTCCGGCAGCAGCAGACACGTATCCTGACTCGACGACATCCCTTTTTTAGGCGGCTGACGGCCAGCTTGACGCGAGCAGCGACGTCTTCTCTCTTTCTTTCGATTCTCCTTCTTCTTCTTCTTCTTCTTCGCTGTCGAGGGATGGAAGCGAGAGAGAAAAAAAAATACTTTTGAGTTACATAACGATGTGTATTTCGACATGATGAAATAAAAAGCTTCGAGCATCAAGTTCAAAGTATATCGTGACCGAGCTGGACCGGCCACCGGACGCGTAACCCGAGTGTACATATAATAATCATCTAAAAGCGGAGAAAAAGCTCGAAGCTGGGGTGGAAAAAAAAAGTAAAGAAAAAGTCCGAAAGAAAACGAGAGAGAGAGAGTTTCGAATACACCCGATCGCCGCTACACACAATATATATATACCCTCTGCCGCGCGCAGTCTTATTTCTTTGTAGCTCGTGCTTCGCAGGGGATTCTCATGAGTCACGACGGTCGAAGCTAGCTAGCCGACCGTGTGCTTGTGTGTGTGTGGTGGCGCGTTGCTCCGTTCGCTCGATGCTCGCGCGTACGCCCTCGCTTTTTGGGGACAATTTTCGAGAAAATTGAGAGAAGCGAGCGGAGAGAGAGAGAGAGTGTGTAATGTAGAGAAAAATATATATACGCATCAGGGCAGTCGCAGGCGCCGGCCCTATACTGTATCGTCCGCTGCACACACACACACACACACACACACACACGTTCTATATAAACATAATGCGAGGTGCGTAGGCGGTAATTGCTGACGTTTCGCGCAAGAGATTATTCGCACCGTAAATATACAATCGAAACTTTACATTTTATATGGAAAAAGAATAACGTCGCGATGAAGAAATTGTAGCACCGAGCTATCAAGCCGGGGGGCTATATCGATTTAATTTTCTCAGCGAATTCTCCGCAAGTCTAAATCGCTTTTTCATTATATATAGCTGCAGTGTGTGTGTAGTGCGATGCATTTTGCAGTTCTCTCTCTTTCTCATACATCATGCACGAAGCGATAGGTAGAAAAATTTTCAAGCCCACTTAGAGCTGCCAGTCGGCTGCTGATTATTTAATGAATATACGAAGTCTCTAGTACGCGTGTGCTTTTTTTTTTTTTTTATTAAAATTCAGAGCTTTCGTCGTGCGGCGGGTTATTTATATGCGGCCGGCCCAGCTAGCGGTGTAAAAAAGGTTTTTGAGCGTACGAAAATTTCGTAGTTCGACAATTGTTATTCAGCGTCTAGGAGAAAATTACGAAAATTATCGATTTTTACCCGCACGAAAACTTTTACCGATTTTATGAACGCTCGATCTAAAATCAGATATTAAGATTATTTACGTGGGGGCTTACCTCGGCAGTCACGATCGATTCGATCGACGAACGGCAGGGCTAGTATTTTTTTGTCGTTGTTGAAATTTCCTTCGAAATCCCCGAATCTTTTTCAGTCACTGTCACTCATTACGGCCACTGTACATAATATACTCTCGCACTGTGTCAAGCTCACTGATAACTCTCCGATCCAACGATCCATGGGGACCTCTCTCTCGTTCTCAAATTTTACTTAAACTTTTTTACTTATTTTATTTTACTTTTTTTGTATGTTTTTTTCTCTCTGCCCTTCGTTCCTCGAGTCTTTCTCGTCTTCCTTATTTTTTTTTTTTTTTTTTTTAAGGGTCGTGTGCGCGCGAGGCCGGCCTCGTGCAGCGTCGGTGCACCGACACACACTGCCCCGTACTCGGAAACCCCGACGTATTATTACAGACGGCGTAGAGAGAGAGACAGACGCGTGCGTGCGCGAGAAAAGACCTCCCCGTCCCTTGTCTCTCTCTCTATACGTGTGTGTGTGTGTGTGTGTGTGTCTGTGTCCGTGTGGACAGGACGCGGAGTACTCGCGATATACTTTGGCTCTCTTTTCGAGTAAACGCGCGCACATATACACGATATTACAACACACCAACACGAACTAGCAGTAGTTACTTTGCACACGATGTACACACACGGATATGGTATGGTTTATGGAGTGTGTGGCGCGTGCGCGCGTCAGGGCGCCGGCTCACGTGCGCGCTTATTGGCCCTTCTTCCCTTCCTTCTTCCTCTTTCGCCGCCGAAGCAGCAGCAGCGCCGAGACAGAGACAGAGAAAAATTTTTACCCTGCGCGCCGGCTTGTTCTTTATACACACGCACACATCCACATTACAATATATACCTCACTGCTTCGTGCGCTGTACTTTCGCCTCGCGCGAGCGAGTTCCTTATGTGTTTTTTTTATTTCGCTACTACTTTTTTTCCCTTTTTTTTTGGGGAATTTTTTTTTTTTCTTTTTAGCAAAAATTGGGAACCGAACTCCACGAGGGCTCGGCTTGTTCTGACCACATACTTTCGCTTAGCTGCCCCGAACACCGCGCGTATACGTTTTTATCCTTCCGAGTTTTTCGCCAGTTTGTGTGGGCTCTCTCCCCCCTCCTCCCCACACCCCTATCAGCGTCATCGGTCTAGTGCGTGTGTGCGTTTGTACTACTACTACTATAATACATGCCACCCCGCGCGCGCACACGATACTTTTTGTACACATTTTTGGAATTTCGAGTAAGCGGGGTAAATCATGTAATATCGCCGCGTCGATGGATCGTAACTCAACGACGATCTGAGCGCGTCCGCGCTTCAACTCGCGAGAGAGCTTTTTGTTGTATATAACACGCTCGACATTATCTCAATACCGAAAACTTGTCGTTTGAAATGTTTAATTATGTAAAAGTTGCAAGTATTTCAAATGACCAGAAAATGAGAATTTTAAGATTAAAAAAATGTAGACTAATTATTTCAACCACTCGAAGTACGATAATATTTGTTTAAGCCATCGCCGCTAGATGGCGTCGTACCTTTTAGCTGTAAATCTGCAAGTAGCCAAGGCAAGATAATCGTATAAATGTATCTTTACATGTCTCTTTCGATTGATTCCTGCAAGATTTTAAGTTAAGGTGATGCCTTGGCCACAATTTTAACCGACCGAGCATTAAAAATGTAAATCGAAATAACTTTTTTACTAGACCGATCTTCGAAAAACCAGCCAATTTCATCGGGTAGTTTTTCCGGAAAACAGGATCGAAAATTTACGAAAATATATTACATATAAGGTGGCCAAGACATCACCTTAAGTTAGAAAATATTAAAAATATTTCTTTTATTTATAAAGAGATTCACCATATATTTAGTTGAATCATAAAATTTGTCTGCGCTGTCAAAAAATAATATAAAAATTTAATGCCATTGAATTCAAACGCGCGTGCGTAGCACGCGCTGCTCCATTTCTCTATCAGTTTTCAAGGGTATTAATTTAAAGGCACTGCAGTCCAAACATCTAACCCGAACATGTTGTTTGCGTATCGTGCATTGGCTTTTTATCTGTGGAGCTGTAATGATAGTAGGTGGCCCAAATTGCATTTCTCATTTTTTCAACTGAATCATTATTACGACGCATCGCTAGACCCATAATATACAGTTAATTTGTCGATCATTCAACCAGTGAGTTTATTTTTCCCATTAGGAATTTTTTTTTTAAATTATAAATTCACAATTTCAATACAAATGTACTTGAAAAATCATTAAATGTATAATTATTTTGGAGTTCACGTTTTATTTTGTGCTGAATTCCACCAAATATATTAGAAAGTAGTAAAAGTTACACCTATGGTCATTCTTCATCTTGTTCCAAAGGCTCTTTTATATCCAAAGAATTTTTCATGGACAACGCCGTTAAGTAAATCGTTCAACGATGTACCACGTTAGTGCCTCGAAACATTGCTGCTACCGCTGCAAAAAAAAAGAAAATATTACACATTCATTTCTCACACTCTTTCGTAATCCCCTGCATACATTTACATTTTGTGCAAAGAATACACACGATATTATTCGTCGGTGGAACCCGTGGAATCGATTCATCAATCAATCTCAGGAGTTATATATACATACATGTACGAAGTTCGCGTCATTGCGGTGTGCGTATATACCGTATGTATATATATATGGCGCAATACACAGACAACGCGGGCAAACAAAACCGCAGAAAAGAAAGAATGATAATGACAACGACGACGATGGCAAAGGGTTGCTGCTGCTGCTGCCGCTGGCCACGACGACGAGCTTAACAAATACACGGCGCACAATAATAGCGTACCCTTCTCTCTTCCTTCTCTCTTTTTTTCCGTAAATCAGAGAAAAAAAAAATAAAGAGAAATTTCACGTATCAATCGAATGTATAATGCAGGCGTGTACGTATGCGGTATAGTACGTACACAGCTGAAAAGGATTATTTTTCGACAATGCGCGCGCGCGACGACGACGAGTTTGGAGAAACGAAATTGGATTAGAGAGAGAGAGAGCGTGAGCGGCCGCGAGGGACACGTCGCGTATACACGTACTCGCCTGCGCCCGTATTTTCAAAATTGCGGAAACTATAACCGATCCGAGTTTTGTGTTTGTGTATATAGAAAGGAGGGTGGATTATACCTGCGATCTATCGTGTGCGCGCGCGCGCGTCCGTCTACTACTTCTCTCTCTCTCTACCCTTTTATCGAGTGATATTTGAATGACACGAGAGCTGAGTGTATGGCGTGCTAGTCTTGTGCGAAATAAAAAGGGACGCATCCGCATCCTACATATTCCTTCGATCGAATAGCTTTCGAAACTTGTAACGTCAAACAAATAGAAATATTCGTCGATTCTCGCGATTTTTTCTTTCTATTACTTTTCACTAATTCATTTTTAAATAATATGCACGTATATATTGCTACACAGCTCAAAGTTGGTGCGTCGACTGCGGACATATGCCGCTTTGCGCGCGCGCTTGGCAGAAAAATAACAGTATTCAGCTCGTATGTACGCGTACCTACGTGTGCGAATGTGCGCCGTGTATCGTCTATCCTGGAAACCTATTAAAGAGAAAGTGAGCGTAATTTCGTACTTCCCTTCGCTAACTCGTGTGTACCTATATTTTTAATATATGCTCGCAAAAAAAATATTCATATACATAGGATATATTCGCTTTCCCATAGGTACGCGCGCGTACTTTACACGTACGTACGCAAAAAGTAAGCTCTCTTTTTTTTTCACGCAAACTCACGAGAACGATCCGAAAAATGTCATTTTGAAAATAATGCAAAATATTACTTCGTGATAGACGTTACGATACATTTACGCGCGTGTAACGTAACGTTGATCGTTTGATATATATTTATAAACTTGGCCCGCGCGCGCGCGCTCGAATCCGACGTTTTTCGCCGCATTAAATATGTAATTCAATCGTTATTTTATATATTATCGCCCTGTGTATGTCGAATAGAGAGCTTTTTGGGGGTAAAGACAAAAAAATAGCTGAAAGCAAGCTAAATGTAAAAAAAAAAACACACACACACAAAGAACCGGTATGTAAAAGTCGTGTTTCTCTGTGTGTCTTCTAGCTCTAATTTCAGTCAGTGACAGTTATGACCTAAAAATTCAAAAACTCCCCTTCACGAGGGCGTCGAAGCGCCCGTGGCAAGGGACGACGACGACGACGACGACGACGTAACTTTTCTGCGCCCGCGTTAATGTGTGCATATATATTTTTACGGTTTTATTTCAGGTGGATTCTAGCTTGAACTCAAGCACTTCGGTGATTGGGGCTAAACGTAATATCAAGATGACGGACAACCAGGATCATTACGAGCTAATAAGTTGACGAGGACGGACTCGTTGTTTATTGTCGCGATCTCTCAATGCAACAATTCACTGCTCTCGACTGGTTAACGGATTCGGATAACATTAATTAATGCATATATCAAATACTTTGGAGTAGTATAATATATAGTTCTATTCAACGAAGCATTAACACTTTAGTGGAATTGTAAATTTATATTATATATCTGTAGACCAATTTATACAATTATTCTGACTTTGCCACTTGCAGGTTTACAAACATAGAGGTACTCGCCATCTAGCGGTGGAAGCTTAAAGCGTTATTATCGTATTTAAAGTAGTAAAAAGCTGATCTCAACTTTTTCGAAACAGTCGTAATATAATCGTAACAAAAAAATCGGCAAAAACAAGCCGATTCATTTTTATGCGATTTAAAACATTTTAAATTTTCATTTCTCGATCATCGGGATTATTATTAACGATGAGAATCTTTCGTCTTGTATACCTCGAGACGGTATACAGCATATATACCAATCACTTTTCTTTTCCTCAAAGAGAGAGAGAATCGCCCATGGGCAGCTAGCAGCTAGCTCTCCCTTGAAACTTACTGAAAAGGCGGTTTTCATTCTTTCGCCCCCGGTATACATCTCGAAAGATTAGCTCCTTCGCGATCTCTCTCTCTCTCTCTTTCTCTCTCTCTGTCCGTTGCCATAGTTTCAAAAATGGCGTAGCAGCAGCACCCGCACGTCGTATAGCAGTGTACAACTTTATATCTTATATAGACGCACACTGGTCGCTCACACGCCTATATAGATCGGCTCGGCTATATGTACAGTATCAAAATTCGACTGCCCTCTAAACTATAACGGTGGGTAGTGGGTGT